AATTGTTTGCCAAACAATTTCGCTAAGAATCGGTTAGGTGACGTCACGTTTTTATCTTTGCTACACCCGTACTGCTGTACCGCAGTACCGCTCCACGCGGTTGCTTGGCAGAGCAACGCGAAAGTGTCAACAACATTGGAGGTATTTTCAAATGCCTTTTATAAGACAACGCGCAGTGAAATGGGAGGAACTAGAGTTTATTTTGTCATAAGGTAGTATGATTCTGCATGACACAAAGTATTTGCTAGTCTAGTAAGTACTGGAGAAATTAGCGTATAGATGCGCATAGTGCGGCTTTAAGAGTGGCCCAAATGAATTTAGCAAGAGATTGCTCGGGTTATTTATTCATGCCCTGTGCCTTACTACGTCCCTATTTCCTCATAGATTTTCAACAACTTGCGGTCAACGTGTCTAACACGACACGACTATTCTGATTGTTGTTGTGGTATTCTTCACTACTATTAATTTATGTCATATTAATAATCTGTTGTGTTTGATAAATTAAGGTGTGGCTTTGCTGGTGAGACAGGCCCAAGGTTCATTATTCCAAGTGAAGTTAGTTATCCACATGCCAAGAAGGTGGTAAAGATATCGGAGTGTTCTCGCTTAACTGAGAGTTATCTGTATGAAACTCTAGTTGACTTCATTCATATGCTGTACTTCAGGTAAATTGTGCAAGCATATCACTTATGTCAATGACTTGTGTTTATTAGAAATCCACATTAGCCATATCTGACTAATAGTTTCAATATTGCTCATGTTTGTAGTTATATATATATATATATATATATATATATATATATAATTTTACAAGTGCATCGATTAAATTATTACACCAATTCGATACTTTTCATTTCATGAATGTACATGTGTGTGCATAGATGAGATTGGGAAAAGGATTAAACAAGTAACAACTATATAAGTAAATCTCTATGATAATTTCTAAAGGTTTTATGTTATTGTCTTATTGATATCAATGTAAACAACCTGTGTATACCTTCTAGGGTGCATAACATTGTGGTGTTAATAAATGTTTACAGAGCGATTAATGTGCACACATTTGGATTTTTTTCAGGCATTTGCTGGTGAACCCTAAGGATAGAAAAGTAGTCATTATAGAGTCGTTACTCTGTCCATCATCATTTCGGAATACTTTAGCAAAAGTATTGTTTAAACATTACGAGGAAAGTATATTTTAATTGTTAGCTCTTATAGAACTTATAGCTTTTCTGTGTTGCACGGTGATTTGACATGATTAGTTGTCTTAATTAAACAAAATTTCAGTCCATTTGAAATTTGATAGGTTCATACTCCAGGATGTAACATAACATAATGTAATATAAATGTTCTTGCTTCCCCATGTAGGTGGCGTCAGTGTTGTTTGCTCCGAATCACTTGATGGCACTCTTCACGCTAGGTGTACAGACAGCTCTGGTCGTTGATGTAGGCTATACTGAGACATTTGCTTTACCAATATCCTTTTCAAATACAACCTGAATCGTAAACTGTTTGAGATATTATCACCGATACACTCCTGTCAGGATCAGCATTAGACTTGAGTATCAGTAGGCTTTCACATGTGCTCACTGTTTAGGATTCCAGTAGTATGTAGTGGTTTCTTAACTTCCCAAACATCTATGATGGAGTGCCAATCTTAGGAGCATGGCAGACTTTACCTGTAGCCGGTCAAGCAATCCATGGGTATGTTTTTTAGACTGGTGGCAGTATAATTTATTAACGCTGCGTAATACTTTCACAGATGTATGTGCACATAATTATATGTTGGTGAACTTGACTTAAATGCGGGAGTTGTTGAAGGTAATTCGCAAGGGGTTGGTAAAGCTCCCTAAATGAAACAGGAGTGATTGTAACTGTTCTGTGGTGCTAACAGAAAATTAATAACTTGTCTCTAATTGCTAAGAGCTTCATTACAGTCACTTCTTTGTGCAGTATCACTCACTATCGTTTTCACCTATGCATACAACATACCTAAAACTGACTGATAGCACAATGCAAACACTTGTGCTTTTTATTTATAGGTCAATAGAGAAGAAACTCTTGGAAAACTGTAAAGTTACAACGGAGTTGGCTGAAAATGTGCTTCTCTCATCTCTACTTGGTAAATATGTTTATTTTAATCTATTCTTGTACTTAAACTTATTATTTAACAAAGTTTAAGGTTACCTGCTAAAAGAACTTTGGGGATATTACTTCTAAAATTCTATTTAAGATCAGTAACCGGACAGATCGTTGTATTTTGAGATGAAGACTGCCTTCACACTTTGATGTTCTGGGTAGCAGCATATAAGGCCAGATATAACTTTTCCTATCAGAGAGTACATTGTTGGGAAGGGCTATGTCATATGGCCTGTGTCAATAAGATAATAACCAAGTTTAAAGAGACCTGTGTATCTGTGACTATTTAGTAATGATATATTTTGTGCATGGCAGACATAATCTGAAATACATTCAGCCCCGTATGACTGTGGTTGCCTCTGGCGATATTCATGAACACTCGACTTGGTAGGTCAACATATTCTCACTCTTGCTGGGATGCTATTTATTTTATTTTTCAGATAGCATAAAGGAGGATGTATTAGAAGACATAAAAGGTACCAGTCTATGAGGAGTACACAGTCAATAAATAATTATAAAGTAGTTTATATGATCAGTGCAACACAGTAGATATGAGGGAGTAGTGCATGCTATGTAGATTTGTTATGTAAGCATTGATGAGAGTTCAGTTTTAACTGTGATAATATCAAGAACCCAGTGGAATTTAATAGCGAAGACAAACAGTGCTAGTTAATACAGCTTTTATGGTAGGTTGATATATGTTAACATATTAGCATTTTTATTTTCAAATAGTTAGAATGTGTTTCGTGACAAAGATGGAACGAGCCGTGGAATATCAGAATGCTATACAGGAGGATGGTAGTGTGGACTATGCAAAGGTACGTAAATTTTCTGTGAATGTTCAGTGCACTCGAGATGTCTCTCATTCTTAGCTTCTGTTTATTTGGTGTCATATGCTACTTGAAGTTACTACCATGTGAAAATTGCACTTGCATCTGCCCGAAACTACAATTGTGTGCAAATTTGAAAATAGGGCATGCAACGTTTTAGTCTTTGCACATATACTGACGACTGTGTAGTGTGTAGCAAATATTTGTGTATAGAATAATATATTTGATGGCGTTCAATAGTTTTCTATGCCTAAATATGCTATATGGGAAAACGGCAGCAGTAAAGCTATACTAGTATTTTGTTTTTTTCTCATTTAGCTTCCACCATTGCCACCTATTGTCGATTATCCAGTAGATGGAAATAAAATACTACATATATGTGGTAGTATCAGGTATGTATACAATATATAAAGAATTGCTACAGAGTTAATACACTTTATATTTATTGTATAAAGTGTACTATCTACTATATATTTGCTACAGTTCGATAATATATGATGGTAAGAGTGTGCCATCGTCACAGTACGCACGTCGCAGTACCCCTACTCACAGTACATAGATTCATCAACTTATCACATTTTCTTAATGCCCAGCAGGCAAAGAGTAACAAATTGTTATATCTGTAGCTACACTTAACGTTACTTTATGCATTAAGTGAGTAATGGTAATTATAAAAGGCCTAAATAAGATATTACTGATGTTATATTGTCAGATAATCAGCACATCACATTTCTGCTATTACTGTATAATTTTGTAATTACATTTTACCCGACGAATCCACGGCAAGTGCAGAGTAAGGAACCATTCATTTCATTCCACCCACTGATCTTTACTATACATGTCGCTATCTTAATTAAAAGTCATTTCACAACTTTGTAGAGTGGTTTTACTGTCGTGGATTATATTCGTGCAGTGCAATCATGATGAAAACATTTTGTTGCTAAAAAAAATGGTCACGTCTCGCTGCATTCATGCAAATGCAATGTTCATGTTTGTTTCTGCGGCTGTATGTCTATTGTCTGTTACAGAGAAACAGCAGCAGAGGTTCTGTTTGACTACGATTTGGAGCAACAATCTCTTCCTTCTGTCATCCTTGATTGCATCTTGAAGGTGAACTGATTGACAACCAGGGCCTGGCTGTCTCATTGCCAATCATGATCTCTTCACCTATCTATTCAGATCTACACATCGCTCCTGCTTGTTAGTTCCTTAGTCAGCCAGCCATTGGTATTTATTATTTTTTTGTTTTCGCTCTCTCTTTTGCTCTCA